AAAAAAAAAAAGACCCGACGCGGTTCTTACCTCTCTTCCCAGCAGCTCTGCTGAGTATTCCTTAACCTACTTTCCCCCCTCTCCATCCCTAATTTTAACCTACTTTGGCGCTGCAGCAGCCGCAGCCTCCCGGCTCCCCCAGCGCACCCCACTGCAGGCGGAGCTGCCACCATGCCCGGCTCAGGGACAAACCCAGGACAATATCAACACCCGCCTTTGTCAGCGCACCCCAAAAAGCGCCAGATCCCCCTAATCGCACAACCCGAACCTGCAGAAACCGCCACCCCAGACCCCCCCGTGGGAGAATAACTCTTTAAGGGGAATAATCCTTTAAGGGGGAATAATCCTTTAAGGGGGAATAACCCTTTAAGGGGGAATAACCCAAGCGCCCCCGGGCACAGGGGGTGTCCCTTACCTGTCCCCGCCGCGGAGCCCTCAGGCTCCCCCCGGGGCCGCCCCGTCGGTCGCGCCTCCTCCTTATGAATGAACCCGCTGGCGTTCGGCCTCAAACCCCGCCCCTTTCCATGACGTCACACGGAGAAGCCCCGCCCCACCGCGCTCGGCCACGCCCCCGCAGCTCCGCGGCAGCGCCCCCTCCCGGGCGAGGCGGGGACTGCGGGAATCGAGGGCGGGAGCGGGGCCGAGGGCGGGATTTGGGGTGCCGAGGGAGGGATTTGGGGGGGGCTGGGCTTCATCCCGCGCGCGGGGGGCGGGTTGGGGGAAAAACGGGATCCGAGCACGGTGCATTGTTACCTACCCAGCACCATTAAAAAAAAAAAAAAATCTTTTTTTTTGTTCCCCTACGGACTTGCAGGGGGCACCACGGGTGCTGCACCCCGATTTCCTACGTGTCCCACAGYACGTCACGTGTTGGCCTTGTCCTGTTCCCAGGACACAGTTTTCCCATATCGGGGACATTCCAGTTGCAGTCAGGCCTGGTGTTCCCTCTGCTCCCCTCGGTTTTCCCCAGGACGTCCCGGTGTCCCCTATTCCGKCTGTTTGTGTACCCGGGGAGTGCCACATCCCGAGGTGTGGCACAAGGGACAGACATCCTGACATCCCCCTCAGGGTCATCCAGGACACAGACACTGCACCCCAGTAGAGGAAAGGGTTTCTTCCTCCCACCGGGGTCTTCATCACACGTGGGTGACGTTCCCAGTGATACCAGCGGGAGGTGGCAGCGGTGCCTGTCCTCACCCCGTCCCTGCCAYCCCATCCCGAGGTGAAGGACGAGACCACGCCGGGATCCTTCTGCCACGGGTGACCTTTAATAACAAAGAGCCCCCAAGTGACCGAAATCTCCGCCCCCCGCCATTCCCAATATATCCTCCTCATCCCAATTATAGCGCACACCCACTCACCCCGCTGACGGACGGACGGACGGCTCCATGTGGGATGGCAGCGTTCCCGTCACTCAGCCAGCCGTGTGGGATTGGGGACACCCTGATTCATCCCTGCCACCACGGCTGTCACGTCTCCCATGGGGACAACGGAGTCMCAATCTGTGAGCACTGATCTCGCCTAAATCCTGGGATAAACGCAGGAAAATGGGGCAGAAAAAGGGCRAAAGGGGGAGGGTTGGTCCAGCAAAGCCTCATTTCCAGGGTGCCCCACATTGTCACCCCATTTTAAGGGCAGGGAACAGCCCTGGTGGCTGTYAGGCAATGCGAAGGTGATAGTTCTCATCCAGAAAATGTCTCAAACGTCAGCAGCGCCTTCATCCCACTTCCCAGGCTGCAAAATCCCATTGGSAATCACAAAGAAGGGCAGGGGGGAATCCCAGTTTCCTTCCTCCTCCTCTCCCTCAGCTCCCCCTCCACCAGCGCTGCCCGGCTCCACCAGTGGGGTCAGGCTCTRCCTCGGACAAGGAACCAGCAAGTTTCAACCCCCCAGCTCCGGGGTGGAGGGACTGGCAGCGAGGTGACGATGCCCCTGAGCCCCCCGAGCCTCCCCAAATAAATAAGGATGTTTATATATATATAATATATATATATATATATATTTAAAACAAACGAACAAACAAACAGAGCTATCTGGGTGCTGGCGATGGAGCGAGCGGGTTAGCGGGAGGCCCGGGCCGGGGGACACCGCGGGCGGATTGTCCCTGGGGCGGTCCCGCGGCGTGGCCGGGGGTCCCGGGGAGTGGCGGGGCCGCGCCCCCCGCCCCGTGAAGCAGGCACACACAAAACCGGAGAGCAAGGCAGGTTCCTGGCTGGCGGGCACCCTCCGGCCGGTCCCCGGTGATGCTCGGAAACGTCCTCCTCCTCCTCCTCCTCCTCCTCGTCCGCAGCGCCTTCCCAAGCGAACGCACCCCCTCCCCATCTTGTGGAGGCCCCCGAAGCGCTGTGTGTCCCCCCCGAGTCCAGTGCGGCGGCCGGGGGGACGGCGGGGGGACCGGGGCTCATCCCCCCCAACCCCGAGCACACAGAGAGCAGCCGGGTCGGAGATGAGAGGTGCTGGGGCGGGGGGCGGTGGGGAGGGGGCCGGGACCCCTCCCCTGCACACGGGGGGGGCCAGCACCCCCCTTCCTGGGCGGGGTGGCCCGGGGGGGCCGCGGCTGGTCACGCTCTCCACAGGAGGAGGTGGTTGGTGCTGTCGTCCCGGCCCACGGTCTCGCTGCTGCTGGTCAGCCGGAAATCCTCGTAGCCGTCCCCGCCGCTGATCACCAACATCTTGGGCTTGGACAGCGCCAGGGCGGGGGCCCGCGGGCGGGACGGGTCTCGTTTCTCGGCCTCGCTCGGCTTCTCGGCCCCTGCCGAGCGCAGAACCCCAAATGCTGTCACCCGTGTCCCCGCGGCTCCCCTGGTCCCCACCGGCAGCAGCATCCCAACATCCCACKAGCAGCATCTCAGCGTCACCCCACCACCACCTTCCCAAACACCACATCTTGGCCCTAAAAAYTCCCCTCCCCAACAGTCCCTTCCACCCCAAAGTGGCCCCGCAACCCGCATTGGCTCCTCCCTTCAGAACTGCCAGCCCCCATCCYGTCTGCTCCTTCTCCCCATCCCACCCGGCCTCACAGCTGGGCTGGGTGACACCCTGCCCATCAGGGCTTTCCCCACGGGAATTTGGGTCTCCCCGGGAAATTTGGGGTCGCCCATGCTGGTGGAGGGCAATTCAGCACTCAATTTCCCTCACCATCCCGTCAGTTTTTCGCCCTGGATTTGAACAAGGCAAGGATAGAACAGGGGCTCCAACATTTCAAGGCTGCTCCTGGCATGGGGTACAGCATTCCCAGCCCCATAAAAAATACCCACAGTTCCTGAAACGTGGCACGGGGCACCCCACCTACCTGTGTCCCTCGGCAGTGGGAACAGGACATCAAAGCCGTCGGGCAGCTCAATGGCCGTGAGGAAGCGGACGTGGCCGGTGTGGCCTTGGGACAGCCCCACCAAYGTGGGGGCAGCCTTGGCCGACACGGAGAGGGTCAGCACCACGCCGGCRCTGGTCCCGATCCACAGCAGGTCCTTGCAGGCCAGGAGCGCCGTGATCCGCAGGCAGGCGGCCTTGTGCTGCCGGATAATGGCATCCGAGCCTGCCGGGCATCCCGGCCATCAGTGCCTCATCCCACCCAGAACGGGGCTGGGAACTCCCCAAGCCCACAGGGATCCATTCCCAGGGGATCTGTGTCTCACAGGACATGGGGAACGGACCCCAAAACCACCCTGGATGGTGGCGTCAGATTGGGGTGACAGGACAAGAGGGAATGGCTTCCAACTGAAAGAAGGGACAGATGGGATGTTGGGAAGGAATTGTTCCCGAGGAGGGTGGRGAGGCCCTGGCACAGGGTGCCCAGAGAAGCTGGGGCTGCCCCTGGATTGGGAATGTCCAAAGCCAGGCTGGATGGAGCACCCTGGGACAGTGGAAAGTGTCCCTGCCCAAAGCAGGGTGTTGGAATTAGATGATCTTTGATCTTTGTCCCTTCCCACCCAAACCATTCTGGAATTCCATGGTTCTGTGATTATGGGATTGCCACCCTGTTTTAACACAGGATTGTCTATTTGCCCAGGGAATGGCCTATTTCCTTGTAGGATTACCCAGCTGCCTAACACAACCACCAGGACTCATATCCCTTCCCCAAACACAGCATCCCGAATTTCCCAGCTCTGGATGCGGCGGGGCAGTTTCCAGGCATTTGAGGGTCACYGGCACCCATCGGTGCCATGTCACGGGTGGCACTCACCAGCCAGCATCTTGTGCACCGGGGGGGTGATGTCCGCCTCGGCCAGCTGCTCGTAGGTGGTGGCGTGGTACAGCCGCACCTGGGCGCTACCCTGCAGTGCCACCCACACGCCGGTGCCCGCGCTGACCATGCAGGTGACGCTGCGCCCGCTGTCCTGCCCCACCTGGAGAGTGTGCTGTGGGGACAGAGCCAGGGTGACRCTCCTGCCATGCCCGCTGCGCCCCCGCCACGCCCCCGCCACCTCCGTACCTCCTGTGCCAGCGTGGCTGTGTTGAGGACGATGACTCGGTTCTGGCAGCCGCACCACAGCTTCCCCGCCACCGCCACCATCTTGGTGATGGGGCTCCCCGGTGAGCCCAGGGACAGCGACTTGGAGTTCTGGGGGTCCCAGAAGCGCCCTGTGCGGGTGGGGAGAGGGGCGTGGTGGTTAAGGCATCCCCCAAAATGTTCACCTTGATCCAGACAGTGGGGTGTGGTGGCTGAAGATGACTGTCCCCACGTCACCACTCCGAGGGGACATAAACTGATGTCACCACGGGTTCAAGTGGCAGCAGGGACCAGGACAAGGACACACACTTTCACCTGCCGCTGATTTTGCTGTCTCCAGCATCCCTCCAGGGATGTCCCTTTCCATGGAAGCAG